TTATTTATTTTTTCAGTCGTTATTGTATATTGATATCATTATTCAATAAATTTGGTACTCAGTGTTACGATTTTTCAAGTGTAGAAATTGATCAGAATAAAACTGTCAATACTCTAGATATTAAAAACATTTTAATAGACAAAAATTGGTTTTTTGATCAAGTAAAAATAAGGTAATTGTAAAATGTATACATTTTTTTTTTCTTTTCTATAACTAAAGGCTTTTTAAATTGTAAGCACAAACTATCAATTTTGAGTTAAAATTTGCCATATTTTTAATTCATAAATTATTGTTATACATATTTGTTATTCCAATAAAGTTAAATTTAGATAAATGTGAGATTTAAACATTTTACTAATTATTTATTATTTTATCTACTTCAAAATAAAACATTTTTTTTTTTTTATTAGATGTTGTCATAATGACTGTCCCAGTTTTGAGTCAGCCAAATTATTGTCAAATTTGCCATTACAAGATGTAATCTCCATCATGCATTGTGATGATTTTAATCTTGATATACTTCAATATTGTTTTACAGTATCAACTCAAATTACTATAAAAGTATAAATTTTATTAATGCTTTAGTATTATAAATATTTATATCATTAATATATTATTATTATTATTATTATAGACATGGAAATCAGTTACTGAAGATACTACTAACTTAGAATTGTGTCCATTGTTTGTAGCTGCAAGATTTGTCTTAGTAGAACACATTCAACAAGCATGTAATTCTTTACCAAGATTTCATCAAGTAAAAAATGAATAAGAAATAATCATAAAACTAGTTACCTATTATTTTTAATCATATCTGTATAGATATTTTTACCAATGGTCAAAGAATTAAATGAAAAACAAAATGTATACAAGACACGGATGAGTCAACTATTTGAAGACAATAAATTTATTAAAATGATATTGTTATTAACACCAGCAATTTCAAACTTTTTGGAATGTGTTAAATTTTTGTCAAAACAGAAAACAAAAGAACACATTATTTTATTGGACTCTAACAAAACTCTTTTGAAATATACCGTTTTAATTTTTGAAGTGAGTAGGTTTTTAAAAAACATTTATTAGATAATATATTAAATATACTATTGCAATATTATATTATTGTGTTAACACATAATAATTGTACTGTTTTAGGTTTTAAAATGGAAATTGGTCAATCAAACAGCAGCTACTAGTAGAATACAATTGCTTCTCAAGTGTGCATATAATATTTTCAACGGCTGTGGATTGGCTAATGAGTTGTGCTCCACAGAACTGGGATCAATTGCTTCATCATTAGTGTCAGTGGTAGAATTCATTACAGAGGATGTACTTTTGCTCATGACTGATGATTGTATGTATATCGACAAAGATAATATTATGTTCTATTATATCAGCTAAAATTATAGAAAAATGATTTGTCTAGACTATACAGAGACTTCTGATTTAGTATCCATATGTCGGCAAATTTCATCTTTACTTTCTTGGGTGGAAAATTCTCGGCCATTAATGTCAAATTTTCATTTGAATCAACTAACATGGTAAAAATACAATACTAAAAATATAATTTAAAAAAATATAGTATAGTTAAATAATATAAAAAATATAGTTTTTAAGTATGGTTTTTTTAATCTTTATTTTAGCTCTATCATACAAATTATAAGCCGCCATCCTATGGTAAATGGATTTGTGCGTGTACCTCCCATTACATGGAAAATGTTGCAAACACCAGCCAATATTATTGATTTTAACATACCAGCAATTCCTATTGATGTATTACAAGAAATGGATGTACTCAAACAGTTTGTGTCTAGACTCAGTGTAGTCGGTTGGAACAGTAAACAACAGTTTGAAGAAACCTGGATGACTTTATTGAGTGTTTTAGTTCCATCCAGTGAAACCAATATACCAAAAGAAGAACATATCTCTCGTATACAAGTTAGTTGGTTTAGTGTACTTATATCAAAAAAATTTAAAATAGTATTGTAAGTTTTTTGTAAATTATTATTATTATATTGTTATAAAAGGCAAGTAGTGCAGCTGTAAATGGAATCACACAATTGTTTAGTCAGACATTATTTGAATACTATCCTGGTGATACCACCAACAATAAATTCTTACACATATCAAGAGATATTCCACTTAACTTGTCATGTCATAAGTACTTATTTATTTTAATATATTATAAGAATTTTAAATTTGTTAAAAAAAATTTCAATCAACTATTAGATGGTTTGTAAAATTGGAAGAAGTCAATGATCTAATATATTCAACATTTTCCACATTTAAAAGAACAGCTGGTAAAGAAGCATTATTAGATCGCTATGAGTGTAGAGCTAATATTGAGAGAATTCATGATCAACATCGGTTTGTATTTTTATATATTCAATTTTGGTAATACTAATCATGATGATCTGTCAACTCAATATTTTACTAACAGATACAGTTATCATCAGTTGTCAGTCAAATTTTTACAAACAGCAATAACAGATCAGTGGAAAAGTTCTGATAATATTGCAAAACAAAAAAACTCAGGTAATATTTGTTTGAAATAAGTTTCAAATTAATTATCGGTTAATAAAATTGTTTTTTTTTTTTTAATGTCATTAGTGTTAGAAATGAAGTTGTATGAAAGGACCAATATATTAAGTGAAAGTGGTCTAGATCTGAACTCTTGTATATTGTTATTAAAAGAAGTGTTTAACCAATGGATGGAACCAAAAGTAAATTATAAGTTATAACATTATAAAATAAGTATTTAAAATACAATAAACTTCTTCATTATAGACACGAGGTTCTCTATCGCAAATGAACGAAATGATAAAATGTCTCCTTGTGATGTCAGATTTGTTTATTGAAAAAGATCATTATATATGGATGCTTAATGTATGTTTAGATCTATCTCAATCACATCATCAAGAAGATTTATTATTACATCAATATGTTATAATCGCTGCAGCCAAAGCAATGGCTATTTCTAAGACTGAGGTAATTTTATTTTTGTATAGAACATATATGAGTGGTGTGATGGGATTTATGTATAATTTATTGCTAGGATTTCAATATTCGAGAGAAAGTGTTAAAATTAATTGATAATGGTCTTAAAAGTAATTGTCGCATGACACAATTGGCTGCTTTACATGGATTACTTTATTTGTTAGAAGGATGTTTTATTGCTAATAACATGTTACCAAATAGTTCAGAAATTGTTCAAATGGCTGTTGATTTTGTTCAAAAACATCTATGCACTGAATATTCAATGTTGTAAGTTTGTCTTTTAAATTAATTTTTAAAATGTGATGTATAATGTTTCGTTCTGTTAAGATATGAATGCGAATGGCAACTATGTGTGATATCGATAGCATTTTACATAGTAGAACATGGGTCAGATAACATTGAAGATGCATTACTTATGTCACTGGAAGGCCTCACTAAATTGGTATCATCATCTAGACATTTTAAACTATATCAAGCTCTTACACAGGCATGTAAATATTTTTGTGTACTAATGTTTACATCATGGGTATATATAATATGAAATTAAATTTTTAGGGTTTTCAAAGAATCATATTTGTAAAACATTCAAATGAAAATATTGTGGAGCAAATTACGACATTAGCTTTGGATAGGTTGTCCAATGCTCCACCAGGATTCTCCTTACCAGCATTACAATTGCTTTTATCATGCATTTATGCAGGTTTGACCATACCAAATTATTTCATATTGTTTAAATTTATTGTTAGCAGCCCCTTGAATTATCTAAATAGATTTTAAGAAATAAAATGTATTTTTTTCATTTATTTCTGGTTTGGATATATATTGTAAATCATATATCAAGCTTGAATTTAAATCAAATAATCTGAATATGAATTTAAAAATTAATTTAATTTACTTTAAAATGATTTATTAAAGTTTTGATTTATATAATTAAAAAATATTTATGTATACCTTAAATGTACATTAAAATTATAATTTTTTTTTTTTAGAACATTATAATGAAAATGTTGAATCTGATATTGATCCTGATATGATTGTTGTTGAAATGGAAAAGATAAGTGTCATGTTTGAAAGGCTAGTTTTTTACTTTTTAATTTAATAAATTCAAAGTTCAGATTTGTTGTTAATTCATAATTGATATGCATTGATTAGAATAAAGAAAGGATGTTTGCTGGAAGTAGAAGTGACTACAGTTATAATGGCCAAAGTGTTGACAGATATATTTCCAGCGTCATACGTACTTATGAGGGTTGTTAGTGAATTTCTTTCCCCCAATCAACCTCATCCAACATATATGTGTACAGTTGTTAATCAAGTATTTTATTTCTATTTTATTGTCGACTGTTAAACATATTTTTTCTTATGTTGTATGGTTAATTTTTATTTTGTAGATTTTTGAACAATTGATTAACGAATCCCAATTGGATCTCTTACAAGATTGGGTTATTACAACTCTCAGCAATTTTACTCAAGGTCTTCAAATACCAATGGCGATCTATTGTCTAATCAATTTTTTTATAAGTTCATCAAAAAATAAATGGCTAAGAGCAATGTAGTCTTTTTCTTTATCTAATTACTGAAAAATATGATTTATATTTAATATTTGTGATTGTTTTTAGATTTCCTCATGTAAGATTAAGGCTTGGTCGTTATGAATATGAAGACAGAAAATTGCTATGCATAGCTGCAATGGATTTTTATCATAGCGTAAGAAAATTAAGAATAATATTAAGTATAAATTTTTATAGTTTTTAATTGAAGAAAAAATTTACATTTTAGCTATCTAACGAAAACCAGAAGCAGTTGTATAAAGAATCATTCCAATCTTCAGTTAAGTCGAAAAATCCTTTTCAAGATATTATATTATGTTTAGAATAAAGTAATTGGATTCCAAAATCTGTTAAGTGTAAGACAACTCATGTTCCATTACAATTTATCATTTATTATTAACTTATTAAATAATTGTTATTTTATTACAATCTAAAATAAAACTAAAAACCTTTAAGTAAATAAAATATTAATATTTATCTATTTTCTTCAAATATTTTATTAAAAAACCCAGAAGGACATCTTATTGCCATATCAGTTATTTGTGATGAAATGTTCTTTCCTAATGGTGCTCTGAAATAACAATATTAAATATAAATATATAATAATGAATGTAAAATAAACAAATATTGTTCAAACTTTCATGATAAATAATATTTTTAAATCATCAAGAATAAATTAAAATAATTTAAAATTTTGTAAAGCTTACTTTGATTGTATATCGATTTTATCTAAATCAAAGTGACTGAAAATATCTATATGTTCATTCAATTTTTCGACACCATTCCATGCTATCATTGTTCCATTATCTGTACAAAGTTTAGGTGGTGGAACTACTAGTTTAAAATTTACCTCGTCACACATAAGATTCAAATGTTTTCGTATAAACATATTGCTTGCAACACCACCAGAAACTACCTATAAAATAGAAACTAGTACTATGGTTTAATTACTATTTATTTTTAACTCACCAATGTTCGGTTTGTATCTGGTAAGAGTTGTGTTTGGTTAATAAATTCAATACCCCTTTGTACTCGGGTGCATATGTGTTTAGTAACAGCATACTGAATACTAGCGCACAAATCAAAAACTTCAGGAATAATTTCATCACCTTTTAATCCTAACAAAAATAAAATGTCAATTATAATAATTAAGCATATAAGCGTAATAAATAAATAAAAATTATATACCATGGTTTTTTTCAGATTTTAGGATTTGAGATCTTATAGCATTTTTTAAGCCGGAGTAACTGAAATTACAGTCTTTGTAGTTTGTCATAAATGTACCCAAATCAATAGCCCTAGGATCACCTTTTAATGCTGCTCTTTCAATTGCTTGACCTCCAGCACAATTTCTAAACTCCTTCATATTTTTCAACTTAAGTCGCCTGGCTGCCTGAAAAATAAGCAATATAATTTTAATGTTATGTTTGAAAAGACTAAATAAATGTTGTTCATCATTACCTTGTCCAATGCTTCACCAGGAGCGTCATCAATAGATTGTCCTAGAAGTAGAAATTCATTTACTTTTTTTACGATAGCCAACAAACAGTGTCCACCAGATAAAAGTAAGACTAAATATGGTATCTGTAAATTCTAATAAAAATATACCTAATTAGTCACAGTCACTGAGTGCAAAATTGTAATAAACATAATAAATTATTTTCTTACATGATCAACTAATCTTGCAGTCAAAGCATGTGCTTCCATGTGATGAATTGGTATCAAAGGTTTTTTTGATTTTTTACACAATTCCTTAGCATAGTTCATACCAACTAATAATGACAAAGACAAACCGGGTTTAACAGTGACAGCAATTGCGTCCAGGTCGTTCAAACTAACTTGGGCTTGTTGCAATGCCTGGGTTACAACATTATCAATGTTTTGTATGTGCAAATCTCTGGCCACTGGTGGAATAATACCCCCAAAACTGAAGAAATGACAATTATATTTTGTAGTCATCTGAACCAATTGGTTACATACTCAAGGTGTATCTGTTGTTGAGATTGTAAGTATTCGCCAAGAATATTTCTATCACTGTCCACTATTGCGCATCCGGTATCGTCACAGCTTGTCTCGATGCCCAACACTTTGCTATACTTCCTGTGGGCTTGCCTTGTACTCTGACCCCATAAACCAAATGACCAAAAATGTCGTAAAAGTCTCATTATAAAAAGACTGTAGATAATTTTATTTTATCCTAAAAATAATTAACATTAGTTAAAATATTTTAACCTATACACATACCCACAATGGAATTTTGGGAAGGGGTGCCTTCCATAAGTGGACATTCCCAAACTTAAAAAAAACCTACCTAATGTATTATTATTTTACTCATATCTATAGAAAAAGTGAAATTAATTTTGTTAGATTCAACGACACCTTTTGAGGTATATATTTTAGGCTAAATTGATAATTTATAAAGAATATGTTCAAGAATTATTCGAATTTTACCGGATCGTCAAGGGATATTTTAGGCATCCTTAATAAAACTTCCAAAACACGCCACTGTATGAGTATTAAAGCTCATTTTAAACACGGAAATTACAATATAAATATAATACTTACACATATATCTAATGAATGAATATTGGCTGTAATTTTTAAATGAATAAAAATTCACCAAAAATTTGTTGCCCAAAGAACAGTCGTTACCGTTATATAAAAATATATCTATTACCTAATCGACATTTTTTTGTTCGCGAGCGAGGCACCGGGAAACGGAAAAGAACATTTCAACAAGCTGCTACTCTGCTACGCTGCGTAGTCCCAGGACCCGGTGTGATCGGTGTATTATTTTATGATAATATTTCTTATAGCCGTGGACACTATAATATACTCAAATGCACATGGTCGTGTTTATGAGTGTTATCATTTAATCAGTAATTTCATATTTAGTTACGTTGTAAATAATCACAACTTACTAATATTCGTCGTGTCTTCGTATCACACTCCCACTGCAACTCTTTTCTAACGCGAATCGCGATGTGGTAAAGCCAAATAGGTAACAGGTTTTGGTGTTGAATTCCAAATAGATGAAAGCCCGTCAGTAATTCCTTTTAATAAATTTAGGTCATCAGTACACGTAATTTTATTTTATAATCATGGAAAACACTAAGAAGGCTCTGTCGTCAATACCGCTCCTGAAGACAAAAGCCGGTCCCCGGGACGTTGATTTGTGGCCACAAAGGCTCAAAGAAGAATATCAATCCTTAATTCAAGTGAGTGCAATTGATATTCTTGTCACTCATGATATTTATTTATTAATTAATTACATATTAATTGATATTTAAAAAAAAAAATAATATTTCTAGTATGTTCAAAATAATAAAGCAGCCGATAACGATTGGTTTCGTTTAGAGTCAAATAAAGAGGGAACTAAATGGTTTGGAAAGTGTTGGGTATTTCAAAATCAGTTAAAATACGAGTTTGACATAGAATTTGATGTGAGTTGTTTTAATAAATAATTATATAAGTATATAATTTATATTTATGTTACTTGGTTTAGATTCCTGTTACATTCCCTTCTACAGCACCTGAAATTGCATTACCTGAACTTGATGGTAAAACTGCCAAAATGTATCGAGGTGGCAAAATATGTTTATCTGACCATTTCAAACCACTGTGGGCTAGAAATGTACCTAAGTTTGGTATCTCTCATGCTTTAGCACTTGGTGTAAGGTTTATTTTTTTAATTAATTAAATTTTTTTTTTATTTTTGTTTTTTAAACTATAAACTTAAGTATAATCAAAAAATGATTATTTGATTTAGAATTAAAATCAACTGAATCAATTCAATTAAAAAAGTAATAATTATTTTATTTATTTCGTCTTTCTAAAATGTATTTGTTTTTGTTATGTTATAGTTGGGCCCATGGTTAGCTGTTGAAATCCCAGACTTAATAGCGAAAGGAGTGGTTAAATATAAGGAAAAAAAAGAGGACAATTAATTTAATTTAAATTATGGAAAAGTGATTTTGGAATATTTTTTATTTCTAAAGTGATATTTATATTTTATGACATTCATTTTAAAATAATTATTAGACACTTAAGAAAATAGTTATAAATATTGTTTAAATATACCTATATTAAATATCAACTAAATTAAAAAATTTTAAATGTCTAATATTTATGTATTATAAAATATGTCTTAAAATAATATATAACATAATTTTATTCTTAAACTTATTTATTAAATAATTTAATATTATTGTAAATTTATTATATTATTAATATATTATTGTTTAATTTTGTTTTTATTGTAAAATTTTTCAGCATACCTGATTTTATTAAAAATGTTTATGTTCTGATTATAAAATATTATAAACAGATAAATTACGATAATGTGTTTACAGCAATATTATTAATGTTGTTGAATTTAGTATACTAATTATGATAATTTTCTAATCATGAATTTTCAGTATCTGTTATAAGAATGTCCTGAGGAAGTTGAGGATAAATCTTCTATTGAATATTTTCATTAATAAGTTTTAATGATGGAATCCGACCGAGTTTTTAGCTTGACGTGGAAGTTTTTGAATTAGATCTTGATCCTTATATTTATGAAAGATATTTCTGTATCATTGTGGATTTATTAAATTTTCATAAACCACAGAACTTTAAGACATTTATCTTTGGATATTGATTAGGGAAAATTTGTACATTATTTATTTTAGTAGATGAAGCAGCGGCATTAGATATCAGTGGCCTGATTATTGAAGTGTACAAAAGGAGGGATAATTTAATTTTAAGTCCCATTTATAAAAATTTTATTTCCTGGGTGAATTTTTTGTTTATATGGATATTCCATGTAAGTTTTTCATCTAAAAATTTAAATACAAAAATGTAATTATGTATAATAAAATTTATGTAATTTTTGAACCAGTTAGTAATTTAGTTTAATGAGGATTAAAGTTTTCAGATTAAAGAATTAAGAGAACTGTCTTTAATAAGGATTGTCGTAATGTTATATTATTCGTCAACATTACTAGTAAAAAATTGGCATGGGGATGTCATAGCAATACATAGGTAATAAAAAGAGTTGACATAAAAGATTTGTGGGACCCATATTTGATTTTGTGTTACAGAGATAATTCTGATGCGTATAATACATTAATAAAAATAAAATTCATAATAATATATGTAAAACTTCTAAGTCTGTAATGTTTTTGAATAAAATAACTAACATTGTTATTTATTCTTTTAATAAGTGTTTTCATCCAAATTTTATCTTTAAATGTTTATAAGTCTATAAAAATTAATTATGCTGGGTCCAAACGTTCCAGTATAAACTACATAAAAAAAAAAAAAAAATCAATTTTGTCATGAAATAATTTTACATATAAATTCCTGTTTTCCTTGTTAATTTTAATTTTTTTGAATTAATTATTAATTTTATTTATTAATTAAATTAGTCATAGGGTTTTTAATTTTGATCTCTCCATAATACATACTAGACTGATTTTTCTATCAAAAAACATCCTCAAAGTTAAAAATTGAAGCATTTTTTCGGCTACTTGTGTATACTTGATACATTAAAAAAGAAACACGCATTGTAATTTGTAAAATCATTTTATTTTATATTTATTTTAATCTCTCCATTCAAAATCTTGAAAATGAAATAATAAATTGTATAACTACCAAAACTTTTCTTATTCAGAATTATAGATTACACTCTTTATTACTGTTTTTAAATAATTCATTATTCAGCTATTTCAGTGGTATTATAAAGATTGCATCACGTCAAAACAATCTCCGTAACACAAAAGTAGAACATGCGACGTCATGCACTTTGGATGCACGGCCCAATCATAGACATTAGACTTTATTGTTAAACGCTTATATTTTATATTAGTATAAGGTACTATAAGCCTAATAAGTTAAAAGTACCTAATAGTTAATAGTTCTTTCCGTAGTCACGGCTCCCAAGTCCCAAATAGGCCAAATGATTATTTATTTTTTTCCGTACACCCGTAATAAATGAAATAAGAATCGACATTCCGGTAATCAAACGAAACAAACATTTTGTGTAATGACTACGAAATAATAAATACCTACCTGGTTATTGCATAATATTATTCAAAGACAGTTAATAGTTTTAAATTTTAATGAAGTAGACAGTAGTAGGAAATAAATAATAATACGTAGGTATTTGAAATTTACCGACGGCCCCCATTTTTCGTGTCCGATTGGTCGAGATACCGTGTTACACTAGGCAGTACGTGTATTTATATAATAACATGACTATAATATTAAATTATTATTGTTTTCATCTTTCATCTTAGTCATCCACGGATCCACGTATCGTACATAGATAACGCCGTCGATAAGTGAGAATTATCGCTGCATAAGCTTAACAAATTAAATAAGTAGGTATTTACTATTTACGATTTAAATATAATATCATTAATTCTGTCGTTCTGCGTTACTCATACTTTTTTTGTTCGTCAACCAGGTATGTCCTTGAGGCCGCCTACTTACCGGTGTTATTAATTTTGTCTTCGAACTTATTTCACGAAGCACATACTACATTACCTACCGTTGTTACTTGTTAGCCGATTTTTTTTTTATTTACATTGTACGGTGTCGTAACTTACGATACATCATATTTTACTAGTTACAACCCTCTCCGTCAACGATCGCTCCGAATCGCATTTCCATCGTCATCTCTTACAGCAATCCCGTATTAACACCATGAGTCTCCAGTGGACGATTATCGCGACGTTTTTGTACTTTGAAGTAGGCGTGCTGATGCTGTTCCTGGTGCCGTATATGTCGGCCCAGCGCTGGAACCGTCTGTTCCGGTCCCGGTTTTATCAGGCGCTCAGCGCCCAGGCCCAATGGTACTTTACGTTCTTACTGTTCATTCTGGTTCTGTTCCTGTTGGACTCTATACGTGAGATGCGCAAATACTCCAACCCTGAGCTAAACGACGCACACCAACACTTGGATCACGAAATGCAGGCCAACATGCGACTGTTTCGCGCCCAGCGCAACTTTTACATTAGTGGCATTGCCTTATTCCTCAGTTTTGTCATTAAACGTTTCATAGCTTTGGTCACCCTCCAAGCATCTTTGGTAGCCCAAAGTGAGGCGTCACTGAAACAAGCCCAGAGTGCTAGCGCTGCTGCCAAATCTTTGTTGACACGGGACGAAAACGGAGATGGTGAGTCTGAGGTGTTGACTGAGCTTAAAAAAGAACTGGAATCGATTAAGGCTGACCGTGATGCGATCAAAAGTCAAGCAGAATCTGTCTCCAAAGAATATGACAGGCTCATGGCAGAACATGAAAAACTTCAGAAGACTGTTGGCAACGAATCAAAGAAAGATGATTAAAATCTAATTCATTAAACTATTATGCATAAGTCTTAGGTACGTTAAAAATTATGCATTTTTGAATTTAAACTTCAAACTATTTGTTTGGCTTTTTACTATTTTTTGGGGTGTGTATTTTTTTTTTATTTTTTTTTTTTTGTGACCTAGTAACTAACATTACTAGAATTGTAAATCTCATAATTAATAATTTTTGGTATTGTAATACATGTAAAAAATATTTAGAGACTTAATAAATTAATTATTTTGTTGTATTTATACTATTAAAACATTTATTTTATGAATTTAAATGTTTTTTCTTCTCTTATTGTTCATTATCTGGTAAAAAGTAAATAAATTGATTTTGACAGCTTTTAGTAAGTTAATTAAATTTAACTTCTTGGTTAAATTTAAAAATAAAATATAAATTAAACTCAATGTATAAAAGTTTAATAATATTTTAAGAAGAATTTTTAAAAAATTCTACAATTTTTGCTTGATGCCGGCATTATGTTTACTTACTTGAATTTTGGATAGTGGTAATCTAATTTAGAAGGAAAACACAAACAGCTATAATTTTTTAACTCTAAATGATATAAAATACAAAAATATTACATTTCTAATGTTGTGTAGAAACGTAATAAGTTTTTGGTTATGTAATATAGTTACTTAATCAAAAATAAAATTTAGAGAGAATTAATTATTTATTTATTGAAATAATACAAGAGTAGCTACTAGCTGTAATAATAATTTATCATTTTTAAAAGAAATTAAAAAATACATTTTTTTAAAAGAAATACTTTTTTACTTTTTAATTTAATTTCATAAACTAATGATTTTAGATAATATAAAAATGTGTTGTTATTTAATGGTTCTTATGATAATTTTTATTTTATCAGTAATAAAATTAATACTTCTAAAATGTAATATATTTATCTCTATTATTATTGTAGAATGCCTTTTAATAAAACTGGAGATAATTGTACCAAAAAATAATTATAAGTATATAATTTTGAAGATACAAAATTATTTAAAATAAATATTAAGTAATGAGAGATATTTACATGTATAAAAAACTCGCTTTAAATAATTCCATTTAATATTATCCTTTGTAATTTGATATATTTTAAAATGTTTAAATTAAAGTCATTCTAACCATAATAATTAATAATACATAGTCAATATAAAAATATTATAGTTGATTTTCAGCTAAAAAATAGTATAACACTATTATATTTGTATTTTGGTAAAAAAAAAGTAAACTATATAGTAACCTTTTAATTTTGTAACTAGTAACATACTTAAATATTAACTAGGTATTTATTTAATTCCAATAACACAATATCAGGATAATTTTATTGGAATTGAAATACATGACAAGAAGAAAATGATATTAATGAAAACATAATTCATTAGAATTTTCAATCAACTTACTAAGACAAGAAACTAGTAACAGGACATTGTATTCTGTCGTTGCATTCATTTTTTAAAATTAAAAAATGTAAATATAAATTTTAATTAATACAATTGTATTATAAACAAGCAAATTTTTGATTTATACCTTTCAGATTAGCATAAGGTAGACAACAATAATTTATCCAGACAAGATGTTAATTACACCATTAATGTCTAATAGCTTAAAAAATGTTTATTACAAAAATATTGCATATTGAGTTCAAAAACTTACTATTAATATGTAACAAATAACAATAAATTTGTATATTATAAGATAACTTTGTCATGGTATTATAAAGTAAATTCATAAGTAGATTATATAAAACTATTAAGTAGAGATAATCATATAAAATACACATATTTATCATTTATATTATATAAAAAATGAAAAAATTGTATAAAAAAGTAAAATAAAGTATTTCAAATACTCAAACTAGCAATCATTATAAATCATAAAAAAAATAATTATAAATAATTATAAATAGTATTAAAATAAGAAAAATTTAATTTAAGAATCAACAATTTATAATAGTTTATACATTTTCTAAGACAATACACTGGTGTCCAATGTCAAATTACCATCCTTATCTTTTTTTCTAATTCTACCATCCGGATATTTGGTTTCATGTGACCCATCTGGATAAACAATTTTTGTTGTACCATCAGGATATACTCTTTTCTATAAAATTGAAGTATATTGATATTAATATAGGTTAAATATTCTGATAATTAGACATATAATACATTTTTGGTCATTAAATACTTATACAAAAAATATACCTAAATATAATTGTTAGAAATACAATTAGTTTTTATATGTTTACGTAAGAATGAAATAACTTTACAGCATTCATTAATTATATTATTATTTACCAATATAAACAATGAATAATAAACATACCTTGAATTCGTTGGTATGTATTTCTCGTTGGCCATTTAATAACACTAATTCACGATGTCCATTTTGATCCACTGTCAAAACTGAACCATCCAAGTAATTCCAAACTTCCTTATGATCTGGATAAACTGTATGCTTTTTACCATCTACATATTCAATTTCCACTTTTCCGTCTTTGTAATGCTTTTCGGTTTGCCCGCTATACATACAATTTATATAATTTACATTAATATATATAACATGTTTAAATAGACTAAGACTTCAATTATGTTAACTTTAAGGGGTATGACAAGATAATTGGTAAAGTGGTTGTTATATTAAACTATTTTTTGAAGAAGTAAGATTGTGTTTTTGTTACCAAAAATACATTTAATGAAATCATATGAACAAATTGAATATTTTAATAATGTTAATTTGAAATTAATGTTTGATATAGAAATACAGATATTAAATAAAACTATCATATAACTATACTGACACAAATCTCAGACAACTTACTGAATCAAATAAAACACTATTAAACCACATTACGTCTAGTTTAAATTAAATTTTTTTATTGAAATTGATAGCCACATTGAATTAAAATAATATAATAATATAATTCAATAAGCATATAAAGTTATATTTTTAAGGAATATTATGAGTTATGACAAATACATTTTTTAAATTTAAATGGTATATATTGTAATGGTTAAATTATTATTGATTTAAAATATGGTAAAAATATTTTTTAATACATTTTCTAGTAATTATAATGAGTTTCATGACATTAATTTTGTTTTCAAGTTTTCTAACCTAAACAAATATAGCTAGTTATTCCACTTGCCCAATCATCAAAATGTTAAGCACATAACTTTGAATATAAAACTTACTTAGGGAATTCAATTATCTCTAGGCCAGTATTGTATGTTGTATGGTATGTTTTGTTTTTAGCAAAATAATATCGTTCAGAATCATCTTTTGTTTCTTTCACATCACCATTATAATAAATCACTTTTACATTATTACCATCAGAAGAAATTTTTTTTAAATTACCATTAGAATACAAAATTTCTTTACGTCCATCTTCTAAAACTGTCTCACGGACAACACCCTGATTATTATGTTGAATATTATTCGATTCATTAATATTATTTTCATCATCACTATCATGAGAATGATTTTTTGAAGACAGATTTTCATCTAAAGACAATTCATCAGATGATTCATTATCGATAGTCGTAATCAAAGGGTTTCTCAATATAGATGCAGGAATGTTTTTAGTTTTAGGATCAATCATTGATGATATATCATCGGGTGATAATTTACTGATTTCTGCGTTGACATTATGAATCATTCTGGTATTCCTTAAAGCTTGTTTTTCAGACGATGTTTTGAATGTAACCTGAAATAAAAAAAAAATTATATAATCCATATCAAACCATATTGTATTATTTAGGGAATTTAGAGTACTCAATTATTACTAGTCCAGATTACATTAAATCAATTAGAGACTACTGACAAGCTAAATATTACCTAAATATTTTTAAATACACATTTAAAAGAACACTAAATTTTTAATCCTCTCAATAGACGCATCACAACTTTTATTTAGTTAAATAACAACATATAAGTATGGTATAATTTTTCAAGTTATTTAAATTTTACAAACAAGGATATAAAATAAAATATTTTAGAAAGAAAACCATTTTAAATTTATTCTTATAAGTTTGTTTTTATTATTTTTAAGTATTATTCTTTTTAAATGTACTTTATATTCAATATTAAATAGTATAAAATAATTTATCAAGATATTACAATTAAAAAAATTATCAAATTATATAATATTATTTCAAACAACAAAAGACTTTTTGTTAAAATATAAGAATTTCTAAACATTTAAATTGGACATTTAGAAATTAGAATTTAAATAATATACTTGTAGTATAATAATATGCTAGGATGTCGCTTATTATTAACATCTTTTACCAGAAATGCTACAAGCCTTTTGATTTTCAACCATTTTAATCTTTGACTACAAATAATTTGATGTTGGAGCTACAATATTTTGTTAAGTAAAAATTATTTGGAAAAATAGGTCCACCCAAATATGATATTAAAAATAGATGTTTCTATTACATTAAAATGTTCCAATAAATGTGTATTTAGGTATTCATCATAGCTAGTTAAAAAAGTTTCAATTCAATTTAGCATAATCTTGTAGAGTAATTGGTTTTCCTTTAATTGGTGAACACTTGGTTTAATATTGTTTTACTTTTTTATTTAAAGACGATTTTCTTAATAATTCAAGTTCATTGCGCAAAGCAATATTACTATTTTCCAATAATTTCATCTGAGTCCTTATTCGAGCTTGACCAGTTGCCCATCGAGCTTCTTTTTTATTAAATTCATCTTTTAACTCTGTTAACTATACATTAAGATAAAATTTTAAAATCATTAGTTTAAATTTAAAAATAAACAATGTAAAAACACTAAAAACCAACCTGTTCTTTTAATTTTTTTATTTCTTCTCTCTCTTGTCTATTAGGTTTATTTCTCAATTCTCTAGCATTTTTTTCATATAGAACTTTTTCTCTAATAAATTTTTTTCTTTCTTCCGCTAACATTTCTTCTTGTTTTTTTTTTTCATCATTTAATTTCTTTAAAAAATCTTCTTTACCTTTAAAGAACTTTTGTCTTTCAACCTCAAATTCTCGTTGCAACTTCATTAACTTAGTATTTTCTAATCGAAATCTTTCTATTTCAGATTCCAACTCTTCAAGTCTCTTACTAAGCATTTCTGTATCAAATGATTGGTCAAAATCTACATGTTTCATGATTTCAGATGTTTTAGAATAGTTTTCTAAATATTTCTTTTCATTTTCTGTTAAATTAACTATATCAACTTTTTTTTTATTGTTATCTCTTTTGTTACCATTTAAATTTTTATCTTTGAGTGCACATTCTGTTAAATCTAATGGATCACATTCTTGGCTAGAATCCGAATAAGAATCATCAGAATCATTGACATTTTGTCTAGGAGTAGATGAGTTTATTCTATCAAAATTTAAAGAACGAACTAGTCGTGATGCCGGTACTTCTTTATTATTTTTAGGACTTTGTCCATTTTCTAAGAGTTGACAGACAGTAGGTGACGATGCATTTAAATCAAAATTGTTAGCACGTTCTTCTAATATTTCAAATGCACGTAATTCCCTTTGTTCTGTATTATTATACTTTTCTTCATTATCTGTACAATCTTTAGGCTCATACCTATTCCAAGAATTAGCTATTTCAACTTTTTTTAAATCTAGGCGTGTACTTTTAGTTGGCTTAATAACTGAAAATAAATTTATAAAATTAAAATATAATATGTATTTTTAACAAAAAAGAAAAAAAACAATTATCTAATTACCTAATTCTGTTTTAGGAAATGGTTTGACTTGATTCAAACACTTTCTTGGTACTTTAATTTTAGATGGAACTGATAAAATTGGTTTCTTAAATTTCAATTTACCAGTTTTCTTTTTTACTTCTTCTATATTTAAACCATATCTAGCTAAACCTGTACCTTTTTTTAAATATGGTTTTTTAGGTTTAATAGTTTTGCATTCAATTTCATTTTCTAATTGTTTATCTTCAACAATATTCGTATTACGCTCTACTGCCTTTGCTTTTCCAATTTTATCAAAATTTTTATTCGGTGATAATATTGCTATGTCATCTCTTGAATTTGAAACCTAATTTAAATTTTAAAAATATTAGAAATCAAAATATCAAGTTTTAATATTATTTAATTATCTTAATTTATATGTATAAGAAAAATAATAGTACCTAATACATACAAATTTACCTACTTATAAAATTTGAAAAAATAATTAACAAATCAGTTTTATTTATTTCAATTTAGTATATTTCTCAAATAATAAATTACTTTTACTCAATATATTATAATATAATTTTTCCAATAAATTTGGATCATAATTAATACTAACCGGTGAAGAAATTATATCTTTTTGGTAACCAAATTTTTTTAATAGTTCTTCATCAATTTCTGAAAAAGAAGATACCCTATCGTCATAATGACCTTCTGAAATAAAAAAATAAAATTAAATATTAACAAAATATTTAAAAAAAGAACCTAGAAAATACATGTTTAGTTTAATTTAAGTTTTTAATTCTTAAAAATAAGTTCTGTTTATTTTGTTATAATATAAGATAAAATTTATGTATATGTATTTAAATCTTAAAAAAAAAAAATCAATTTCTTTAAAAATAATTCACAAAATATTACATGAATATCAAATATGTATAAAATGCAATTATGGTGGTTTCTTAATAATCTGACAGATATCAAACCAAAAGACTATCTGATTAACAAAAATGTCAGATCAGTGGAGGTTAATAAAAAAACAAATTTTACAAGCAAAGCAATAATGCAATAACTTTTGTTCTATTGAACATTTTCAACTTTTTGTTTTTAATTATGTTGTTATCTGCGCTACATTTAAATTCATTTTTCAATTTTTTTTAAAATTTTGTATGTAAAATTAAGAAATTAAAAAATTTTCTATTTGATATTTAAAAAAATCAAAATAGCCATTTTGTTGATATTATTTTTAATACATGTTCGCAAAAAAAAAAAAATAAAAAATGTTCAGCCATTTGTTTTTTTACAATATTTTGAAGTTTGCACAATTTTAAATTATTTTAAATAGATTTTTTGGATAATCAATAATCGCAGTAACAAACAACTGATAGACAAGAAATAAATTTGAATTTAAACAAACTTTAAAAATTATTGACTTAACCTTAATAAACGTTTTTGACACATTTTTTTTAAAAATTTAATTTACAAAATGGCTATCTTGATTTTTTTAAATATCAAATAGAAAATTTTTAATTTTTAATTTTCCATACAGGATATTAAAAATAAAAATAAAAAAATATTTTAAACGTACTGCAGACAATAATTAACAATTAAAAAAAAAAAAGTTGAAAATGCGCAATAGAACAAAAGTTATTTCTAATATCAGTTTATCATGAAACACACTGTATGTATGTATTATTATTTATTACTATACTTGGGCTTGCTATTTGTTCCGATTTTAACAGCATGTTCCAGTATCCCGCCAGTCATTAATTTTGTCCCAATTAACAGGAACCAAGAGAAAATAACTTTAATATTATATTATTTAATAATAAATTATAGAATAATATTGTATATAGTATCATTATATCATTATCGTATTATGTTATCTAAATGTTATTGACATGTTTTCAGGTTTATTTGTCTTTCTTTTTTTTAAAAAGCTACAGAAATTTTAAACTTGAGACTATAAAAAAAAAAGATTATTCAATATGATGTTCCGGTTTGGTAATTTTAAAATCTAGCAAAGACTTTTTTTAATTGCACACGCAATGCACATAGTAAAGGAATCCTTGGTAGCTTTATTACATTGCAGTATGATTTTATCAATTTTATTAGTTAGTTACTATATCATAAGTATCGATACTTTAAAAATAGTAGGACCAAATTATTGGATACATAACAGAACCGGATTAATGAATTATTTACTAAAAAAATAATTAATTTAGAAAAAAGTATTTAAATTATTTGTGTTATACAAATTATAAAAAAAAGTCTAGTTACATTAACGGCTAGTTTTCAATTTTATTTTATAAATTATGAAAGTTAATTTATTCATTTATTTTTTAAAGACAGCAGACGTATTTGCGCTTTATCTATTTTTAAATTCTACTTCAGATTTGCAATAAAATATTAATTATCAGGACTTTAAATTAAACTTTGATACTGAATAAATGATAAATATTTTAAATATTATTGTACTAAATTTCATAGACAATTACAAAAAATTTAATAAATTAATAATAATGATCCCTTAAAATTTGGGGCCTATCATATTATAGTGAATCATTAAATGGATCAATATTTTTAAATGAATGATAATTATTACTTATTTATTTAAATTTAATAATTCATTTCAACTTTTAAAATAATTACAATTTTATAATTTTATAAATACCTACTAATAAATTTTAAAAACTAAATTAATTATACATTAATTTTTTAATTTTTTATAATAAAAAGATAGACTTTGGCTATTATCTATTTTCCATTTTTATAATTAAATTAGAAGTTTTATTTCCTTACATTTAAATTTATAATATATCGCACATGAAAGAAAAAATATATATATTCTTATGCTCGTTCTTATGGTTATTTAAATGAAAATATAATTATGTACCTTGCAAATTTTCTGGAATATCAAATGATCTTAACACATCTTCCATCTCATTATTCAATGTGTCCATAGTCGGATTTTCGCATAATTTTTGCTGTTGCGAATCTTGCCAAGCTTTTAATTCTTGTACACATTGCATAACAGTAGACATATTAAATTCGGATCCATAATCCTTCATAAGATCCATTATGTCACAATTTGTACTCATTTCACATATAATAGGGAAAATATGTTAGAATCTTAAAAACCATATATAAATACTATAACAGTTAAAAATGTATGCATTATAATGCGCAGTGGATAACTCGTTTGATTTTAATGATGAAAGTGTAACAAAAAAGTATGAGCTTTAAAAGAGCCTTCACAGGCACACAGCAGATAGGCTAATAATAATTTAACTAAATATAATATATTACTTAAGTTGCTTAAAATTTAAATAATAACAAAAACAAGTTTTACACAATATTGTTATCAGATACATTTTTGGCGGTAATGCACAGTAATGATAAACGTAAATAAGTCATGATAAGTATGTTAAAAACAGAAATGTCTAAGGCAACGGTTCTCAAACATTTTTTTTTGCGTAACACTATCATAGTATCATCAATTAATCGTGTACCGCTAATGACTAAAGATAGAACGATTCAAATTTTACTGAGTTAAATTCATTAATTTTAAATAACAAGACAAAAAAATAATACAATATAGTTATTATTTATTTATTTATACAGATTTATAAGTTTTTTTTAAGAATAAAATAATAATTTTTCAATAAGAACCATGGATTTGTAGGTTTAATGTTATTAGAGATGAAATATAATAAATAAATAAATAATAAATAATTTTATAATAACTATTTCAAACACAAATAAAATATTTATTTTTAATTTTCCGTTTTACCACTATGCTGCTTTTTGCGTAGCGCCGTCCATCATGTAGTCTTTAGGGTGCCATACTACCACTGCTGGAACACGTACCACAATTTGAAAACCACTGGTCTAAGGTAATGATTAAAAATAAAAAATGAACTTCCTTTTTAATTTATCAATCTTCTAACAGTTTAGGTTTTATGATTTAATATATTTTAACTTATAATGCGTCCAAAGAATAAACATTAAAAATGTCTGTCAGTGTACTTTGTAATTCTGCTTAGTAGAAATGAAGAATTTGCTTTTATTTTATTAAAAAAAATATTTGAATTGAACCAATGGCGTAGGTAGGAATTTTAGTTTGTGGGGAGGTGGGGGGACAAAATTTCAAAATTGTTCATGATAGTCATGTGGATTATATAAAGTCAAATCCACAAATATGTAGGTAGTAACTAGTAATTAATTTTAGTAAATGAAAATAATAAAAGAAATAATACAATATAGAACTTAATACTATAGAACTTCTTACATTTATTTAAAAAAAACGTATTATTTTTAAATAAATACTAAAATTTATTATTGTAATTGATTTACTAACTTACAAATTTACTCTTAACAATTCATTTCACACTTATAACTTCATGCGCCTATTTTTTTCAGCAAATTTGTTTTGGATTTAAGTTCTTCTAAAATGTCTCTTTCAGTGGATACCAAAATTAATGACTCAAGTCTTTCTGTTTCCTGTATCATTGTTATTCATTATTTACTTTTTACCTAAAATTTTCAGAGAAGGATAGGGGGAAAGCGCCCCCTTTCCTTTGCCACCCTCATAGCTATGCTTCTGAATTGAACTAATTGAAGCATAATAAAAAAAAAAAAAAAAAAAAAAAAAAAAACTGAAAAAAAAAATATTTTTTTTGCGCTAAGTTTACCAGTTTAACAGTTATAATGTTTATGATTTATTGTACTTTTTTCCTATAACTCTATATTAACTATAGCACAGAATAAATGATTTTCATTTTCATTTATCCTGAGATTATAGCCTAGCACTTTAATCTTTATCATTTAGCACAGCTTGTGACTCGTGTAGTTGTGTACTGTGTAGTTATATTATTAATTTATTATACATTAATTTGGTTAGTTTACCTATAAAAATATATCATAATACTCAATTTGATTTATCTGATCAAGAACTAGTGATTATAGCTTTAAGGCTTAGTTTTAAAAAAGTAAACAAATATATAAAGTGTATTCTACTTATTTTAATTTCAATATAGAATACAATTAAATAATAACATATATTCAAATGGATTAAAATTAACAACTATTGATTATGAACTACATCCACCAAAAACTGACGGAAAAACTTACTGAAAGAGATTCAACTCTATGCCACCAACCAGATGGTATAAATAACATTTCACCTAAAAAGTATACAAAATACATAAACTTACATGATTATAATTGATAAACTTATAAGACCCATGGAAATAAGAGGGTACCAAAATAATCAACTAAACCTATTGCCTCTAGTGGCATAATAAATTGATTCCTTCTAATATTTTGTTTTCTAGTAAACAACAATAAGTAATACTAAGAATTAAGATAAGGCTAATACTCAGTCTAATTAGTAAAGATTTTAATTTTGTTTACTAAGGTCCATTAATGGATATTTAAAATATGCAAAACGGATAAATAGCCTATTATACTAATTTTAATTATTATTATTGTTTAGATATATTTTTTTTTAAGAATTAAAATTTTTGAAAAGAAAATTACATAAATAATATAAAATGTTATTAAATTGTTTTGGTACAAAAATGTCATGTAAAAATAAATTAAAAGTAGGACACATATAACAGTCAACAAGACATTCTGTATAACTTAATTATCTTTTTTGTCGCATAGATTTTTATTATATCCATATAATAAATACTAGTTATTAAATAAAATTAAATAAATGTTTTTAATAAGTACCTTCTTTTAAAATACAATGTGTAGCTTTGGCTTTAGAGAAATTGGGAAATTGACTTAAATCAGGGGTAACTGGATCTACTTGTGCAGTATTCTTAAGAAATTTATCATCATATGGATATAAATAGCTAGACCACTTAGGATCATACAAAATAATAAATTTTGATCCCAGCACCTACAGTTAAATAAAAATATTTATTAAATTCATTAAGATTAGATTAAATTAAAACAATATAAATATTAAAACAAACTTGAGCTAAAAAGTTATTCTTTGGATCATAATGTGTAGGAGACACGGTTCCTTTAGGACCTAACCATGCATTTATGTCAGGTTCAACATCATCCACATCTGTTAAATAACAATACTCTGGGATTCTAATATCATCTTTTAATTCTGGAATCTAAAAATAACAATTTACTGATTTAATAATATTGTTTATTTTTTCATTACTTATATTAATTTACTTGATTGAAAAGTTGATGTTGTGCAAGGTATGTTGGTTTTTCACCTTCTTGAACAACATGGATCTTTATGAATTCTTCAAGTGTTATTAATTTTTGACTCCAATCAGCATCTGCATAAGATGATCCAATTTCAACAGGAACTAATCTAGCCCCAGCTAATTTTATAAGATAATTTAAATCTTTCCATTTATTTAGAGCAGGCCAGTGTTCCATACTGCCTGCAAAATTGTAAATTAAATAATATTTTGCTCAATAAAGGTATAAAATGATGTATAATTGATAATAGAAAAAAATATATGGAAAAAAACTAACTTGACCAATACTTTTAATTACATACATGTATTCTTTGTTCTCTTAAAAGAATGCTACACTCACAAGTAATATCTCTGTCTTGTTAATGTATAACACAGTACATTTGTATTCAGCAGGATTCATTTTATGTTGTTAACTTTAATATTAAAGTAAATTTACCTATTTTAAAACTTTTAGGTAAGAATATAAGCTGGGGCATCTCATAGGCTTTTATTAATATTACAATTTTAAAATTATGAGTATTTTAATGTGGTAATATTTTACATAGTTATAATTCAATTTAAAATAATATCAATAAAAACCTATAAGATGTCCAAGATTACATACTTATTTTTAAGTTTGGTAATAAGAAATTTTTTCTTACAATAAAATCAACAGCACAAAATTATTTTTACTGAAAACAAATATGCTATATTGTATTTTTGTCAAATAAAGGTAATACATGCGAGTGTAGCAATAAATTTAGCAATATTAAAATTTAAAATTTCCATTTTAAACATACTCTAATTCTAATACTAAAATATTGAATACCAATAGAAAATGAAGATAAAAAAAAATGTTATAAATAATAAATATTTTATAGATAAGCAACATACACTAAAATTAATCGAATTCAAGTCTTGTGTTTAGATTGTAAGATGTATATAGTATATACTTTAAACATAAATTAGTTGAAAACCTACTCATTATTTTAAAAACTATAAATTTTGTTTCTTATGGCTTTTTTTCTAGAAGAAATATAATCTATCAATGATTTACATAGTATAAATTATTATAATTAACCTGTAATTTTAATAGGTTTTTTAGATTTAAGATAATCCCTTAAAAATGTTTCTAAGGATGGTTGATGTAGTGTTGGAATATGATCACCAATTTTATGGAATGCATAACTGTTATTTTTTGATTTGCTATTATTACACAATTTAACTGGATGCTCTAAAAAAATAACATGATTTTTGTTACACGACCACATTATCTGAAATCTAAATTTATTTTTATACCAATAAAAGTCTGCTGTAGAGCTTTACACAATAACGTTGCAGCTACAGTTAATTCATTTCTAAATGCATTACCCATTAGCAACCCCATATCAATTGCTTTTATAGTTTTTTTTAACATTCTTTCATCATTTGCAGTTTTTAATAATAACTTGGTCTAAAATTAAGAAAATAAATGTTAAAACATTAATATTCTAAACATAAATTATTACTACTTACCTTAAGCAAGCTAGCATGAGAATAAAGTTTACGCATGTCATCTGAAGCATCAGCCCAGGAACCAGTATGAAGTGACTCCCATACTTTTTCTAAGACAGCTTCAACACTGGATAATGCAACTTTTGAATTATCAGTAAGGGAATCTAAAAATAATCATACAAATTAATTAAAAACGTTGTTACAGTTATTTACTTAAGATACTAAAATATAATACATACTATATTCATGTTTTAGATTAATAAAATTAATCAGCAAAAATTTATCAATTATATTTTTAAAAAAGGATAAACAAATATAGTACTCAACTATAAACTTCAATAATTTCAACTTTTAACAAATTAAATTGTTTTTGAAATTTTTTCAATAACAGTTAGATAAAAAATAAATATATATTAATACTTTGTTATTTGAATGCTTGGAAATAGTTTCTATCAGAATATACATAATCTATTAAATTACTACTATGGATTAAATTATTTCCTGAATCAAACATTAATATTGCTAATATTCATTATTATATTTGGGTCCTAGATTACATGTTGTACATGTTAAATTAGGTATCATTTAGCATATACCATATAACTAATTGATACTTAATAATTGTTGTTTTCAATATTTAAACACAATAACATGCCACAAGCCACAGGTTTTCACATTAATAGTATTTAGTATTTATAATAAATATTATATATATAAATATGTTATACACTGTTGACTTCTCTACATATACATAAGCATTCATTCTAAATTGTAAACTGAAAATCATCAACATTTTTTTAATTCCTTACCATTCAACGATTTTCGAAATAAAAAATCTAGCGAGTTATGTACATTGCTATAGTCAAATTCAGCAGATAAAGATGATTCTAAATGTTGTAATACTTCGTCAATAATAATATTCATAATACTGTTAATCAATATATTGGTAATAATTGTATTACAATATATTCATAAATTAATGATCAAATAATTTTTGAATCATAAAAACATAACAACAAAATAAAATGTAAAACTTGAATCTTTCAAATATTCTATGAAGAAGTAATGAAAAGTAAACGTTCAACTAGAATTTAAGCTTAATATCAAGAAGATATAAATCACAAATAGTTATATAGTATTTATATTTTATTAATTACTTTAAATTTTAAATAAAAAAAATAGTCTATATCTATAATCTATAAAAAATATAAAGTTAAAATCATGTTGAAATTTACAGATTTGTGATATGAATGATAACGTTTATCAGTATTCATAAATACGCTACAAGTTAAAATATTTGAATAAGCGAGTTTTCACTTTTCGCGAAGAAAACAAAACTACGAAAGCAAACGGTTAGTTAATTTAATTATTTTATCAAATATTAGCTGTTTATTAACTGTTTAACTGATAGGTCTTGTGATTTTTGTTCATCGCCAAAACGATCCGTAAATAAATTTGTATTATAAATAAGGGATATTAGAAACACTAAACTGCTAAAGAAATCAATATTTTACTATATATTTAACAGTTTTGACATTCATTTATCACTGAAACAATATTTAGTCACCGAAATTTGGATATATCCAAAAGACCATAAATAGATAGAAAACAAAAAATCTTAACACTTTTGCTAAAAAGCATCAAAATATTCAAGATTTATTCAGCCATTAGATTTTTGATTTTGATTTTTAAGGCGCAAATATTACTCAGTATAACAATTTTTTTAATAATTATAAATTATAAATAAATATAATTGTTGCTAAAGAAAGTATTCATTTGAAAACAATGATTATGACTATACATATAATGTAATTAATTATTTTTTTATATAATATATATAATATAAATGTATGCTCACCTTGGCGTGTAATACGTGTGGATGCACGGTAAACAAACAGAGTAATATACTACTATTCATTTACTTAGACGATACTTAACATGCACAATCACCATCTTGTCCGTAAGACAAAAATAGGAATGACTGGTGTATATCAAAAAATCGAACGCGTGAATGTATACTCCACACGCAGAGTTAAATCTAGGTATACTTCAGGGGCATTCGCCCCCCCCCCCCTGAAATTTCTTTTGCATTCCCTGATAAATAAAACTTTCAATAAAGTGTACCTATTTATAAGAAAAACAAATCCAAAATACTCGTTACAATTAACGCACCTAATGGTGTTCAATAAAATATAATTTATTCGTATCAATGTTTTATACCGTATTGCCGGTATCTACCTACTGACTTTCCCAAAATGGCCAAAATTATAACAGTTATAACTTATAAGATAACGAAAAATAATCACAAATTACAATTAATAATGACGGTTGGATTACGATATAATCTAAAACTACTTGCGGTACGTATTCATAATACTAAAATGTATTGTCATTCACTAATGAAATGAAGTGAGCTTCCTCCAGAGAAATTGTCTGGATTCAACACTGCTCATATCATACGATATACATGAGGTCGTACTTAGGAGGAGATTTTAGGAGTTCATGTTCAAAAATGTATTTGTCTGATTTTGTAAATTTATAGTTTGGCATGATGGCATTCGTTTATTGCTTTAAATTTTCGTTCTCTGTCAGACTTTGACGACTCATATGATTTATAAAACCCTAACTTGATTCAGTCTTTTCAAAAAGACTCAAATGGTATTTATTTCTAGTTTGGATCAGTTCTCAAAAGTTGAATATAAAACAATTACAAAGTAAAGTATTATATGGTATCTATTATGGTTAGAAACACATAATATAAAATACTGTACTAATAGGTTTATGTGACGTCTATTTGTTTCTTCATATACGAACGTCACACACATACTCCTGTCGAACTCCATGACAGCAGCGATTCATTCTTCACACGCGCAACAGCATAATAAATAATACAATATTATGTTGCCTCAACGTAATTTCCTATATAATTTGTATTGGTATATAGTGTATTTAACAAAAATTTAAAATAGTAATTATAATTGAGTACTTAAAATAATTTTCAGTAAAATTACGATTAAATATTTAAATAATTTAGTATTTTAATTTTTTTTAATAAATATGATGTGCGTTAACTTATTTGAGCACATGTCAAATATTGTACGCAGTTTGCTCTGTTTTATCACTAATATGTCATGATCGTATGTCAGTATGTGCTAAATAAAATTATCGTTACTACAGAATAACTGTCAAGCGCTAAAAATTACTGCGTTGAAATGTCGTAGAACTTTACTCAGTAACTAAAAAAAAGTTGAATTTGTTTTTTTTAATAATTTAATACGCTTAAAATTTTTATAAAAGTACAATAAAAAAAATATATTAAATTTGTTTCGTATATTTTTATATTATATATTTATATACATAGTTATATTTACTTATTTCAGAAAGGATATCTGAATAAATCTTCTCATTCGTCACTTACCTAATCATAAAGATTCAAGGTATAAACTATTTAATATTATTATCATTGGCGTAATCTGGGAGAGAAGAAGTTTCCCTCTGACATTTTATAATAATGGCAAATAAATTACTTTATGAGGCAAACTTCCCCCTCCCCTTGTAGTCTTAAGTTTTGATTGACGTTTTATTACAATTTAAAACATTTTTTTACCATGCATAAGTTTAATATTGGTGAAGTATTCTAGGAGTAGTAAGGTTCTCCTTTACTATATTTTTAGATACAAGAGGCAAAATAAAATATTTTTGTATTCTGCCATTCCAAAAAATTCAAAAATTAACTAAAAGTTATGCTAACTAAGTTAGCATAACTTTCAATAAATTAATAAGTTGTATTGGCGTATTGGGTTTATTTATATTAGGTATATGCATTTTCAATATGATAATTTTAAATTTAGATTTAAAAATAATAATTAACATTTATGAGAACACTATTTCCTGTGCAATATTGTATACTTTAAGATTAAAAAAATAAAATCGTTTTAATTCGTATGATTATTTAATATAACAATAAAATATTCAATTTTAACAAAATTCGACAACAGTATAAATTAATTATTAGGTACAAATTGTGCGCGCCAAACAACTGAAACTATTAAAATAAAATTTAATAAAATTTGATCAAATCGTAAAATAATATTTTACACACTAAACTATTACATGAATAAATAACATTATTTTATAGTTAGAAATATACAGTATTAATGCGTTTTTTATCTATAATATACAAAAATAATATTTATTAGGTATTGTTAAATCGTGAAAAAATGTATTATTAAAACAAAAAAAGAATATGAATTGAATATGTTCATATAAACATTAAAATGTACATGCTTATGTGGTTTGTTGGAATATTAATGTGTTTTTATGATTCAGCTCAGTTGAATATAATTTTTATAATAATTAATAGGTCCCTTACTTAATATATTCTATCATATAAACTTAAATATTTGAAACTATTCAATTTGTGGTGTTAGAACTTAAGTAGTAAGCAATATGACGATAGGTTCTTCATAAAATAATTGTATATTATTAATCAATTTTAAATTAACACTATTATCTATTACATTGGTAATCAAAATAATTAAATGTAAAAAAATCGATTAGTGAATTTCATTTTTTGGAATTTACATCGGTTATTTTTTACTAGATCAATTAAAATTATAATTATGTAAATAGTGTTCAATTTATACATACACACATAATTATATAAATTAATAATCGTTTTTACCATTTGTATTTTAGATAATACATTAATAATAATCAAATAAAAATTATAAATAAGCTTACAGCAAAGTTAGTTGTATGTTAAGAGTTTTTACACATACAGGTAAATTGGTATTTATAACAATTAATACATATAAATAATATTCTTAAATTTATTTGATATAAAAGAACAATTTAGCAAGAATATACGCTGATAATAATGCATTATAACAAATAATAAATTTGTATTAGCTTAAGTATTTAGTAAGAATACCCGTAATACTATTTATTGTATTATACATATATCATAGGTGTTTGTAAGGGGGATACCAGATGTATCATGGCATCCAATGCGGTCTGCAAAATCAGCTTGTTATCTTTACTCTTTAGTTAGGTATACTGTTAATAAACCTTGTTATAAATCAGTTTAAAAACTTAACTTATTGGTATCTTCTTTGAAAAATTCTTTGCACGTGGTACACCTATGATGTATTTGTTTAAATATTTCTTTTGAGTTAAAAATGTTTCCAATTTAAATAAAATAACATGTATACCTACTTATTTAATTTTCTCTTTAGGATACTAAGCTTAATAGGCCACCCATGAGACAGTTTTTTTATTATTTGTGTCAAGTAAATAATTATAAATTAGTAAAGTTATATATTTAGGTAATGTCTTGTAGGTTACATGATAACACATGGCATGGCACAGCACATTGGTAAACATACCGGTACCATTGTTGCTCCAGAACTTTGTTTTTCTTTTGATTTGCTCTTGCTTTTATACTTATACATTCCTTTGGCCTTGGCTTTCATTTGTCCTTGACCAAATTGACCTTGCTGTAAGATATAAATAGCAAAAGTATAATAGATTAAGCGATAACTCAGTATATTTATATCACAGCTTAAATCTAGTATGATTATAAAAACGTCTACTATACCTGTTGCATTACTTCTTCCTTCTTCGCAAACGTTGTTGATCCAGGGGGATAAAAAACTGGTGGCCCGGCGACCGACTGAGTCACTTCAGTTTCTTTAACTTCCGTCAATTTCTCGGGACCTTTATTTTCAGGAGCTTGATTATCGGGTTGTGGTTTTTTAATCGGAATCGTATATTCAGCAGCCTTGTCATGTTCGTATTCTCTAGACTTAGACTGATAATCCTTGACATTTGAGTGGTATTCTCTATTACTGTGGTAGTTCGTGTAATCTGTTCTGTCACCAAACGATGCCATCAAATCGTCCAACCGTTTAGGTGGATTTTGGAGCCCAGGAGTGTCAGCTTCGTCTCTTGGGAATGGTGAATAGCGTAGTGGCAACTGTTCTTGATGTACAGGTTTTGTATATCCATTTGGTTGTCCATATTTAGTATTCTCTCTGGTCTCGCTTGAATATTTATACGAATAAACTGTCTGGCCAGACGGTGAAGTTAAATTATTATCCACGCTATAATAATTATAAAAAAAAAAAAAAGCAATGGTGCATAATTAGGTAATTTTTTATATCAATAAATGATGTGTTCACGTCACATTTCCTGAACACAACCATGAACCTCACATTTACGATCACAATATTAACCTCCAAAACGCTTACTAACCTCACAGGGAAACGACGGGTTACAGGGGGCGTGGCATGAGCGACCCAGGTCACCTCTTCGCTGCGACATACACACTCATTACAATCCCCCAAAATAATATTTTATATTAATCAAATTAAAGTGTAATACTCACTTGATTCTGCTTGGATCGGATGGACTAAACTTCTGGACCGGCTGAGGTGACGTCGTCCTACTTGTATAAGTATGGCTACTCGAGTAATTTCTAGGTTCTGGTGGTTGAGGAAATGACATGGGTGACGGTGAACGGTGAGGGGATGGAGAACGAGGAGACGAAGATCTATGAGGACGAGGAGACGGTGGCAAATCTCTCATTGAACGATTCCTACTATCGGTACGATACTCTTCTGAATAATTGTATACTTTAGATTGCCCTGGATCTGTTGTAGGTGAACCGAATTTTTGATATGTCGAATAAGTCGTGGTACCCGGTATTATTTTTTTTGTAGTTTCTTTTGAATATACTGATGTCTGATAAGTTCCTGGAGATTGGTTTTGAAGCAACTTGGTATAACTACGCGGAGTATCTACCAAATCTAAATCTGTTATTAATAGAAAATTTATGAGTATCACGAAGCATACCCACTAGAGTTTTAATTTACAATACAAAATGTTTTACCTAAAGGTTCTCCATTGGTTGTCGTTGTTTCATAGGTGGAAATGACTTCACTAGTCCCTGGTATTTTTGATCGGTTAAGGCTTCCATACCTATGTTCTTCATGTTTACTATATTGTTGTTTATATGGCGTACTGCTTCTTAATGGTTCACTGTTGATATTTCAACAAATTGATAGATAAGTAAAGTTATAGTATTCGATAAGCCATTACACCTATTTTTACGACGGTATCTTATGGGGCTGTTTTTTATAAACACAAGATATTACCCAAACACAACCCTAGAGCGCAAAAAAATAAACAGCCGCAGGTGAAAAACAATTATGCTTTTAACAATCTATATGGGTAAAGCGCAAATAAATTATTACCTAAAAATATTTAATTTTTTAATCTGAACAATTAAATAAAAGGTAACAAAAAAGATAAAATTTTAAATTAAATAGGTACCTATATCAATATATTATTGAAAATATTTTTCATATAAGTATATATAATATTTAATAGCTATTTAGCTATTTAACATAGTTTTTCTTTTTGTATTTTTTAAAATTATTAAAATATATGTTTATTTTATAATATATAAAATAGAATAATTAATACGAATAATAAAATTGAATTTTACACTGTTATCTTACAATGAAGATACAAAAACGCAGATCAATTTTTGATTTTTGATTTGCAGTTTTGGACATCATCAGATGAGTTACTTCTAAACACTAGAGACACTTAAAGATTATCTACATTTATGGAAACTAATTGAATTCCAAATTATTTTAGGTGCTGATCCATCTAGAAATTGTGGATCCTAGCAAAAATTAACTTTTTTTTTTTTTTTTTTTAATTTAATTTTAAATAATAATGTTTAATGAAAACAAGTATACAAATATTTTATAAAAAACAGAAAAGACTTTAATATTTATAAATTTTAGTTAATTTTAAAATTTTAATTATTTGATATTTGTATTATAAACCATTGAATACTAATTAATATTAATAGAATAATTGTAATTTTTACACATTTATGGCTATATACAACTAGTATTCACAAAAATAGGTAAATCAAGCCGGTAGTAGTTAAATATTAAATTTGCGTTATGCGGGTGAAAAAAAAAGTTATAGATTAAAATACAATAAAGACATAGACACAGACATAATTGCTGTATTATTAGCATTGTTGACATTGATTATTTATTTTAAAGCCCCATAGTCAAATGCTATTTTTTTCAACCTGCATATTATGTCTTCTAACATATTTTTATGACAAATTAATTAAATTAATATTTATAATTATAATTCATGAAATTATTATAGTATTTAAATGCTAGTTAATGTGAAATATATATTATATCTATGTATGCCATAATTATTTTTAGTAATTTTTTTTATAACAATTTTGTTAGTTGTTTTTTTATTTTTGTGAAATTTTAATAATAGAAAATAAAAATTATTGTTCGATATTTAATCTAAGACATATCTTATATAAATCACACAAATTAATTTGGAACCTAACTAAAGCAGTACCTAAAATAATTGAGAACCAATTCGATACCCAACTAATATAAAAATTGTATTTTAGGAACTAACTTGTTTGTGGCCATTCCAATATCCCATAAATGTTTAATTAAGACATTGCTTTGGAAGTATCTAATTAATTAAGCCTATAGAGTAATAAAAATAATAAAATTAATTTACATGTTGGATTCATTAGTTGTTATTTCATGTCTACTAATTCCGGAGTTTGAAAATCCAACTTTTTGAGCATGATTCAAATCGTCTAACAATGAATCGAGTTCAGAAATACTTTGTCTCATGTTAACACCGTTCGTTTCTTGTCTGGGAACTGTACTTTTGCCTACAACATAGGTATATATCATACATATTTCGTTAATCGTTACACAGATTATAATAGAAATATAATTAAATAGAAATATGATTAAAACAATACAATCAACTAACTTTCTGTCGATTTATTATATTGGTATGACGAAACCGTTTCGTAACCGGAATTTTTTCCACCGTTGGTCTGTCGCTGAAATGTTAATATATTATTTTACAAGACATTTTACACATGATTTCATAATTTAATTATGATTGTGGTTATTGATTAATTAATTCATACCAGCAAGTCAACTGATTGAAGATCAGGTAATCTTTCACTGAGTACTGTAGATTTGTTGGCTGGATTGAGATATTGGATTTCATATTCCTTGTTAGTTTCTGTCTGACCGTTACCAATCGTCCTTGATGTGCTTTTTGTGACTTCTCTGTACCCGGTTGATGATGTGTTACTAAGTCCATGGTTTTTACGCGGAAGAGTGGATTGCAAGTCGTCCAGTAACAGTTCTAAACAATAAATATCCAAGTTTAAATTAATTATATGTTGTAATGTAAGCTATACGTGTTGTGTTGTTACCTATTAAATATAACAGTGTCAAGGTGTTATTCCCGGAATATTGAATAATCTTAACATTATTAAATTATCTTTCTCAAGTGAGAGGTTTATTAAAATCATTGAACCTTAATTCAATTATAGGTAGGAATAATATTATATTGATACCTATGCGTCTAATACGTTCATTTTGCGATTAAATATGTATTTATATTGTAAGAAAATTAAGGTATTTTTCGGAAATACATGTATCTGGGTAAAATAAATTTTAATTATACCAAACTAATTTATTAATATGTAAAGGGGGAGGGGTGGACATACTGGACACAAAACTATAAAGAAATTTGTTTGTACTAATAGGATATAATAAAACTACAGTTTGAGGTCCCTCTATAAAATATTTGAATAATGAAAAATATAACAAATTATGTAATCTAATTATTACCAAGTATAAGTAGTAAGTAATATCGTAATATTAATTACAAAATAGAATGATGATAAATTAATAAAAAAAGTGAAGTATAGTTGAAAATTATTTTACATGTTATTTTTTTGTTTTTATAGTTGGTCGTTTAGAAAAATAACAATTGTGAAGGTGAAATATCCTTATGTAAATATGTTTGTTCGGGTTTCTATTTTTAATAGTATTAGCTACGGTCCAGACAGCCGAAATGTGTCAACGTTCAAACAAACTGTAGCGTTATAAAAATAGCAGTTGGAAATGAAACACGATTTATTTTTTATTTATTTTTATATACGAATATACCTACACTTAGAAATTAGGATACTTTATAGCTTAGACTTTTTTTTTCACATTAAACTGTCAAATATTTTTTACGAGAAGAACAAGTTACGCAGACCACAACAATATTGTATCATTAGTCAATTTTATAGCCGACTCAGATTATTATAAACATTTGTACCAACATTCTCAAACTTGATTTATCGAGTAATGTAATCAATTAATTTTTTTAATGCTTATTTCATAGTGATCGATTTTTAATATCTACATGAGTATTTTGAAACATACAGAACTGTTTCTTCTTAATGGGTTCTATTGTTCTAGTGTAGGTACTTTTATGGAATTAGTAGGTACCTTACATTGTATTTAACTAATACTACAATATTAGTATTACATATAATGTTGTGTATCTGTAGGTACAGATAAATTCGTGACTAATCTAATTCATGCAAGTTTATATAGGTACTTACCAAGTCTGGCTTCGCCTTGATTTTGATTTTGTCTGCTGTACATTGTTCTACGTTCTGAAACATAACAATCACTACTGTTATTGAAAATCCATATCCGCACGCATATGATAAAAGACAATTTTATTATAAAGGCACGTGAGAATGTTTACAATTTTTTTATTAAAACAAATATATGTTGTAAATAATATTATTCACGAATATATTTTGTGACTCATAAAGTGCAATGTTGAGCTTATACCAATAACTAGTTCAAATAATATAAATGACTTAGAAATTGTCTTTATCGTTTTTAATAAATTTAATAAAAATAACTACCTAGGTGTATATTATATTAGTATATAAGTAATATATAATTATAGTAATATAAATTACTATACATAAAGTATATACTAATATTGACATATAGTTTATACTTAAGTGCATTAAATATGAAAAGAGAGTATTTCACTAGACTTGACCAAATTACGAGGCGAAACCATCATTTTTGGAGTTATATAACCTTCCCAACATTTCAATTTTTAATTGAGTACACTCAATGATTTATATTACGTTTGTGTCCGTTTCGGAATCTAAGATTTTTTTTTTTAATTATAATAATTATAACTATTTTATGAAACGTATCATTATTTTAAGTGTTTTATTATTTTGAATGATAATATACATTTTTTACTTCATATTCCTAACCACAATATCTTCAAAATATTTTCAATTTTGATCTATAAAAATTAAATTATGCACAAATATTTTATTAATTACAAGTATTTAAAGTTAACTTAATCTTGTTTTGTTCAAATATGCTTGGGTAAGTTACAAAGGAATATCATATTTTTTTTTTTATTTAGATTTATAATATCAGATTTACCTGTAGATTGATTATTTATAATAATTGATCTTATATATTGTTTTGCAATTTATTCAGAAAATAATAAACCTACAGAATTCAAATATTCTCCTATTATAACATTATAATAGGTATAATATACGTTTATACATTTTAAAATAGATTTGGTAAGAATTGGCGATTTTCGGAAATTTTTATTCCGGAATTAACTATTTATTCGATACCAAGATCCTAAAATTTAATATAAGTACCAGCTGTTAACTATGTAACTACTAATTATATACCTGTATGTTGTTCTAACTTATAACTATTACTAAAATAATCTGTCAAATGTATTTGCTAAACATTTTTTTTTTTTTTGTTATGATTTTGTCATTACCCATCTAATCTAACTTTTTAAATGGTTCGGTTTGTTAATGTTCTATAATCTGTTGGTATTTGTTTCTTAACGTTGTAATACATACATAAGTACATAACTAGGAAGTTTTCTGATGAATGAAGAACTGGCCTTGAGCCAACCTTATTATTTTGTAATAATATGTGTTAATAGATAAATAGATCAACGACTCATCATAACATCTGCAATCTGCATTCTAAAATAGTAGGAAAAATAAAATGTCCTCACAAATTCAATTATTTTTTATTTTTATTAACTTACATTGGTATTAACGTATTATTGTCATAGAAATTTTGTTATTTATTAAAAATTCAGTATCTAATTTTAGACTAAAATTGTTGTAATTTATAAATGTTCATACAAAATATAACTTATTATATATTTTATCTTAAATACCTCAATAATATTGTCATTGATGTGCAGAGCATCATAAAGTATACAGACATTCTAAAACGTTTGACCTTTTACCTAATATGATCAAAAATGTGAATAAAAAACAAACGCACTGATACATTCACTACGTTTATGGAGTTGTGGGTTCGAATATCCTTCATACTTAATATTTTGGACGTAATCCAATCTGAATCTATTCTGCATTTATTTTGTAGTCTAGAAGAGCCTATGGCCTATGCAATGGTCTTTATTTATTTTGTCCTCTTTGTTTATGTTGTGCGTCAATATATTTTTACACAAAACAGTTTGTCGAAGGGTGTGTTCTCTTAGTATATATTATAAACATTAATGGTCCATTATAAAAATAAGATGAATATATTATTATATTGGTATAGTAGTTCTAAATTATGTAAATGACTATTGTTTAAAAATGACTCGACGAATACATTGTGTAGAGAAGTATAGGCATACCTACTTACTATTATAGCTACCTATCTCGAGTAAAATACCGACGATGCTGTAGGTATATACATATCGTGTCAACGATGATATACCTAAATACAGTGCTAGCCGCTAGGCATTGATAAATCTTTATGAAATTCCATCGCACAAATAACATTATTTATGTACACCAATGCGTTGACATTTCTGTTTGGTGTACCTATAATGTATAAAAACTTCTTTTTTTTGCGTGTCAATAGTTTTGTGACCAACGTTTAAAGGAATCATGTTTTTTAATAGTTTTGTAAAATATGAACAATGGCTATACTAAAAAGGACACATCTTAAATATTTAGCTCCCCAAAAAATTAATACGAATGGCAACTGACCTTTCTTATTGCCATTTAACATGGTACTACAGAATATATAGGTATACCATTTATAGATCGCAAAAGCGATCAGATATTACTAAATTATTATTTAAGCAGCATAACCTACTATTAATAATGGTAATTGGGCACCATTAGATTTTTGCAATCTCGTTATTTCGCGTGCAACGCAGTATAATCATTATAATCAGTGTTCGTGTTGAAAATTACACCTAAATACCGATATGATGATGATAAATCGTTCGACGTCGTCAAACTACACAATTATGAATAATAATAATCTATAATGATTATAATTATTAAAGATACTAAATTATCATAGTCAACAAAAGTGCGACTTCAGTTCTAAACATACATTGGCGTGCCTGGTACATGGACACTTCCTGACATTCTGTAATTAGGTACTAAAATGTTTGTCCCATATTTTATATGTTGTTTCTAAGTAAAATTTTTTTTTTTTTAAATATGTGATAAATAAAAATCTTCTACATTATTACACAATTTAACGTAGATACACAATTGTACGTTATTGTGTAAAAATCATAATTGCTTATAATATGGATTATGGAAGTACCATGACCCAAACCATCTTGAATCATTAATTCTAACATTTACAGAACAAAAAATTGCTTAAAATGTTGGTTTTAATTTAAGTATAAATAAATAAATGCAATATTTTAAATACATGTAATAGACGTCTGCAGTCATTATGCATTTGTACACTATATAGTATTGTTAATATTATATTATTATACATATTGTACGTATCATTATATTTTACATTCAAATATAATAAATAATAATTTGTTTATGTTTGATTTGTCGTCTTATTAGAAGAGGGCCTAACTATAAAGATACGGGTCAAAAATATTGTAGACACCGCCTGCAGAAATTTAGGAGTTGAAAATTGTAAAAGTATACCTACGTATAGGTACATTTAATTATTATTGTATTCAGTTAGTTTTTATTAGAAAAATGTGGAACATTTTCATCGTCTCTTTGAGAGTAAAAGAAAAAAAACATGCGCAAATGAATATATAAAGGAATCTAATGTCGCGCGCGAACGCGTTCTGATGCCTATATGGAGTTACCGCAGTTTTTCTCCATTGGAAAGGACACACGACGCGCACATACTACGCACACTATTATTATTATTATTATTGTATATCATATAAGTGTGTGACCGATACCAAATAAGGAGAAGAGTAGCCGCCGCCGCCGCCGCCGAGGCGTCAATGACGTAAGACCGAAAACGGGCCTGTCCCGCCGGGGGAGTGTCGCCATCATTGGACCGATCGTCGTCGTTAAATGCTGCTGCTACGCACGACTCCGCGCGACCTTGAGAATAGTGCGCCCGCGCGTGTTTTTGCTCGGCGACGATCGGCCGGTCGACCGGCTACGGCGACGTTGCGTTGACCTTGTCGTCAAAACATATTTTCTACTACCCGCGCCTGTTTTTTTCCCATTTTTTGCACCTTCACCGCCTCCTCGTTATTTTATTATTTCTAATTCTCTACACTCCTTTATTTATTTCTACACACGTTAAATGTATACATATTGTTGCTGTGTCGAAAACATGTACGAAATTGCTAATAAGTAATAACATAATAATATTATCGATATAATTAAAGCCACACTCATTTATTGTGTTCATCAAAAATCACTATAAATGAAAACTTGATTGGGAGCAGACCACGACAAGGTCAAGAGAGTTAAGACACCGAAGAGTGCTGCTGCTGCAGGTATATAGTAAAATAATATTATGATTAGAACTGGAGATTTGATGCTCTAAAAAAACCAAGAAATGTTGTATAAAAATGTAAATTACAAGTAGATAAAATTCACTAAAATAATATTCTAAATTCTTATGATATTTTAGGTATACAAAATTATAAACATTTAATATGCATATTATTGATGGAAATTTAAAAAAAATTATTTTGATGATTCCAAATTTGACTTTTGTGTTTACTGATCGTATAAGTATTAAATATCAAGATACAAATATATTATCTATTGATATATAACAACTTTATTAGTTGTTTGGAATTTAAAATGCAAGATTAGATAAACTTAAATTGTTTACGATGATAGTAGAAAATATTATATTAAAATTTACTGAAATTTTAATTTTTAGGTAAATTGCCTTAAAAACCATAAAAATATTTTAAAAATTGAAAAAAATCCATTAAAACTAAAATATTTTTAAATATTTAAATATATTTTCATATATCCAAAAAAAAATAAAGTATATATTCAACAAGACATTATTAAGAACAAATTTTTACCAAAATGAGTTTCGTTAAAATAACCTTGATAAATTATTCACAATATTACTTATGATTACTTATATTGGTGTTATAATGTTATTTTTAACAGGTATCAACTCTTGTATTAACAAGTTAATAGATTAAAATCAATAAAACAAAATGTTACCTTCGGGTATTTGATAATAATCATTTTTTTAATCTCTGTTACGAGATGAAGGTACTTCCTAATTTTTATAGTATATTTTCCGATGTATACCTAATATTAGTTGCAATGTAAAGTAAGTTTTGTTAAAATTTTATTATACATAATAATTATTCATTAAA